GGACTTTCTCCTGAGGTATATTTTAGAGGTAGTGAGTTTCCCATGTTGTGTTGGTCCTTCATTCTCAAAGAGGACCAGTGACATCACCCTCGTGATATCTTGACTTGTGAGTGAATTTGATACGAGTCATCAACAAAGTCATCAGCTTCACTCTCTCCCCCAGAGTCATCAAAGTCCATCAAAGTCATCAAAGACAAAGGTCAAGATAACTGATGATGGCCATTTCCCCATGCAGAAGCTGGCTAGACACTTGTTGGGATATACTGTAGAGGAGATGCCTGCCTCAGATTGGGGTTCTAGTAGGTGTTCCTTCCAATGTTTCTTCATCTCTGAGATTCTTTAGGCTTATTAGTCAGTAATTAATCTTCTCTTACTCTAGGATTAAGTAGCTGCAGCCTTCCCTGGTCTTCTGCTGAAGCTTCTACTACGGGGTTAATGAAAAGCATGGGTTAGTGACAGAGTGGCAGATACAAAAGGAAACAGCAGATTGTTAAACAGACCCCTATCTACTACTATTTGTCTGGTACATTGTTTACATTCAAAATGATTGGGGCATCTAATGGGATTCATTAACAACTCTTTGGAACAATTTGGAGACCTGCTTAGATTCACACAAGGCTAGGTCTTTTTATTTCAATAATCAAGAAACTATGATTTCGTCACTGAGTATTCCCTTTCTACCAATGCTGATTCAGACCCCTCTACAGGTCACTCTTCAATGATTGCCTACCCTAACCACTCCCATTCTTTTAGGAATCCTAGAAATGAGTCTCTATGAACCTGTCCATGCTGGTCTTCAGATGACCTTTGAGAAGTCAGGTTCACCAACCATACCACGATGAGGCATCAGAAGACAACTTTAATGGAGGAAGCACAAGTCAAGACAGGAAATTTCTGCGAGAGCCATATCTAGTGCTGAGGTAGCTAGGTGTCACTGTGCTGGACCTGGAGTTAAGAAGACCCAATAGAAATCCTGCCTTAGACACTTCCTAGCAGTGTGATTCTGGGCAAGTCTTAACCTTTTTGTCTCAATTTCCTCAACTGTAAAATGGGGATAATAATAGCACCTATCTCACAGGGTTTGTTGTGAGGATCAAATATATCTAATTAAGTGCTTTGCAAACCTTAAGATGTTCTATAAATCCTAGCTATAATTATTATTAAAAGTAATGGAAGAAATTAAATTAAAAAAATTTTTTTAAGTTGTTTTTTTTTTTTTTAATTTTAGAAAAGGGTATACTGGGCAAGGAGGACAAAAGCAGGAACGAATGATGCCCCTGAGAGTACAGAGCTTAGCATGACTAGAAAACAGAGACGTTAGGCTCTTTCCTGCTATTTTAGATCTGCATCTTCCTCTCTTGCCAATATTGGTGCTTTCTAAGGTTCCTACTGCTCCTAGGAGTGGCAAATTTTTCCCCCTCTCACAAGGAGGGCCAAGAGATCCAGGTCACAACAAATCTTCTCCAAACAGTCCAGCTGACAATAGGGGAAAATCACCATTCGTGTGAAATGAATTGCTCTCCAGTTGCCGCTTTAATAATTGTTAAACCAAGGGCAGAATTTTAAAATATGGGTTAGTGTGTCAGGTTCAAAAAGTGCCTCCCTCTTTGATTTTCCAGCCACTTGTGTTCCTGTGATCTTCATAACCTTTGTTACCCTTTTGAGATCCCATCTGAGACTACTAAGAAAGAGTAGTGGATAGAATCCCAGACTCAGAATCATAGGCTCTTGGGTCAAACCCTGGTTTGCTGCCTATTCAGCCTATTGTACACTCTGGGGCAAATCGTTTCATCTTTGACCTTAGTTTTTCCATCTGTAAAATGATGAAAAACTATTTCTCACGTATACTTATTCTACTTAGATGCTAAGAGTTTCCAGGGATTCTTTCTCTTCTCTCTCTCTCTCTTTTTCTTTTTATCTATCCATAGCATATCTCTGTGGTATTTAGCTAAATAAAAAACATCTTCCTATTCACTTAAATATTTAGCATATGTTGTTCAATCCTTTTGGTTGTGTGACTCTTTGTGACTCCATCTGGGGTTTTCTTAGCAGACATAGCAAAATGGTTTGCCATTTCCTCGTCCAGCTCATTTTACAGATGAGGAAACTGAGGCAAACAAGTGACTTAGTCACCTAAGTCACATAGCTAGTAAGTGTCTGAGGCCAGATTTAAACTCAAAGATGAGTCTTCCTGATTCTAAGCTTAGTGCTTTATCCACTTTGTTACCTAGCTGCCCCAATTTAGCATATATATTTACCCACACATTAATATGCACAGCTAGGTGGCAAAGTGGATACAGTGCTGGGCCTGGAGTCATGAAAAATGCCTGAACAACATTATTAATATATGTATATATTGTGTAATATAACTAATATGTGTTATCTAAGATATATCTAATTTGTATCTATATAAAACCACATTTAGGCAAGGATATACATATACATGTATATATAATATATATAGACACAATCTCTATAGATAGAGGGAGCAATGTGCTTTTTTTCCCTCTCTCATTAAAATATAAGCTCACTGTAGGAAATATTTCATTCTTTGTATTTAGATTCCCAGTGCTAAGAACGGCGCTTAGCGCATAGCAGGTGTCTAATAAATACTTGTTGAAGTTGTGGTATATGAATGTAATGGAATACTATTGTGCTGTAAGAAATGATGAGCAGGCAGACTTCAGAAAAACCTGGAAAGACTTGCATAGACTGATACTGAGTGAAGTGAGCAGAACCAGGAGAACGTTGTACATAATATCAGCTACAATGTGTGATGACTGACTTTGATAGACTTAGCTCTTCTGAGCAATACAAGGATCTAAGACAACTCTGAAGGACTCGTGATGGAAAATGCTATCCACATCCAGAGAAAGAACTCTGGAGTCTGAATGCAGATTGAAACATATTATTTGCTCTTTTTGTTGTTGGTGGTGTTTCTTCTTTCTTTTTTTTAAATTTTATTTATTTTTTATTTTTAGGCAATTGGGGTTAAGTGACTTGCTTAGGGTCACACATACGTGGCAAGTGTTTAGTCTGAGGCCGGATTTGAACTCAGGTCCTCCTGACTTCAGGGCCAGTGCTCTATCTACTGTGCCACCTAGCTGCTCCTGTTTCTTCTTTCTCATGGTTCCTCCCATTGGTTCTAATTCTTCTTTACAACATGACTAATGTGAAAATAGGTTTAATAGGAATGTATATGTAGAGCCTATATCAGATTGCACACCATCTTGGGGTGAGGGGAGGGAAGAGATGCGGAGAAAATTTGGAACTCAAAATCTTATGGAAGTGAATGCTGAAAACTAAAAATAAATAAATTCTTGTTGATTTTACTCAACCTCTTCATTTCCTTTTAGCTGCTTTTCTCTCATGGGTAGAACAGAGTTTTCTCATACTGGTTCTTCTTAACAGCTGTCATAGGCCTTTTCATCCTCTAGCTTGAGTTCCATTTCTTCCATTCATCCTCAACTAGGTGGTACAGTGGATAGAATCTTGCATCTGGAGTTAGGAATACCTGAGTTCAAATTCAGCCTCAAACCCTTACTAGCTGCGTGACCCTGGGCAAGATACCTCAGTCTCCATTTCCTCAACTATAAAATGCGGATAATAAAAGCACCTACCTCATTGAGTTGAGGATCAAATGAGATAGTGCTTGTAAAGCATATATAAATATAAATGCTTATTCCCTTCTCCTCTTTTCCCTCCACTTACTCTTCCAATATATTGGATGGAAGCCTAGTAAAAATCCTATCATATGAACATCAGAATTGATATTATTCCTGTGGTAATATTATAATGACAACTACCTTAAGAGTATCTGTCTACCAAAGAAGAGGAATGGGAAAACACCACATATTTCATAGAATCTAAGAACTGAACTAGACATCAGAGGACATCTGTTCAATTTGTAACTGAATAAAGATCCCTTCTTACCACATCCCTTCCAAGTGACAGTCCAGTTTCTGCTTGAAGATGTCCAGTGGAGAGGGGTAGGGGGAAGAGAACCTAAAACTTCGTAAAGCAGTCCATTCCGTCCTATTTTGGAAAGCTCTGATTATTAGGAAGTTCTTTACTTCAAGCTTCTACTTACCCTCACCCATTCTTTCTGGTTCACTCTTTTGGAACTAAGCAACCCAAATATAATACCTCATCTGCACGAGAGCCCTTCAAATACTTGTGTACTTACTATTAATCAAATGTGGCATGGGCTGCAGCTCAGGAGATGGGCGCTTCTCTCTCCCTGGAGGTCTTGAAGTAAAAGCTATGGATGGTCATTTGTTGGGGATGATGTAGAGAACATTTTTATTTATTGGTTGGACCGGATGACTTCTAAGTTCCCTTCCAATTCTGAGATCCTGTGATTCTATTTCACTTCTAAATTTTCTCTTTTCCAAACCAATCATTTTCAGTTACTTTAACCTATCCTTGTACAACATATATTCCAGTCCTCTTAACGTGCTGGTCACCCTCTTCTTCATTCCAGAGCTGAGCCACAGTGTAGTAATAGAAGGGAAATAAAGAAATGTCTCTGAATCTCATGTGAAGTGAAATTCATAGGGGATGGGTCCTAGATAGCAACAGGCTTAAAACAGGGCATCTCAAGGGACTTTGAGTTACTTGATTTCTCTCTGAGGCAAACACTCTCTTCTGTGAGGGTATCTCAGGGGCCTAACCTTCCCTTTTCCCCTTACCCCTCCCATTGCATAGCCTTAAAGAAGATGGTGGTTCCTTTGGATATGTACATACATGGCCTTTTATATATAGATGCCAACATATAATGTTAAACACAAACCCTCACAGAAGCCTATAGAAAGACATTAGGTGACCAGATTATTTATTTGGAAGGTTGAAAGAATATTTGAAAACCAATCAACCAAAAGATCCACATCCCTACCCCCACACCTCCACCCAACTCATCCCAGAAAAGGGACATGACAGGAAACTACAGAGGTTGAAATACATTGGATTTATTTCTTTCTAAAGTTTGTACATATACATATATCATATACATATTTTAAATCCTTCACTAGTTTGCATGATTTCTATTACATAAAAATCATTTGAATGCAATAAACTTTGTCGTCGTAAAGCGACAAATTATCCGCAACCTATAAAAACACAGAGGAACAGTTCTAATCATAAACATTTACACAATAGAGAAATGTACTCCATATATCACAGATTCTATACATGTCAGGTAACTCACTGTCTACATACTTTTAAATTTACTTAACAACAATGAGCGAGGGCAATATTTATATACAGCTATCTTAATGAAAAATAAAGCAATTATAAAATGTAAACTTAATTTTCAAAATATTCTTTAAACACTTTCACCATATCTGCACTAATCCTCACTTGAGTCAAAATAGGACCATCATATGAATGCCTTAATTTACCAGGAAATGGCCTTTCCTGTACCAGGTGGGCGGTGGTGTTGGCAGGCAGGACATGGTGTGGTATCCCTAGCTTAGTTGAGTTTGAGAATGCTTCTGGAGCAGACCGCTGTGTTGCTGCTAATTCCACTCACCATTCGCTGGGGACATATGGCACTGGGGGCTGAGATGAAATTGAAATATTGGGTGGAGAAAAATTTGAAGATGGAGGGGGATTAGCCACTTCTCTCAGCTTGAGAAAAAGATTTATTTCTAAAACTTTGCCTTTTCCCACCAGTTCCCTGGAAAAATATGTTGCATTGTTCTGCCAGCTACTTTTGAGTCACAATGAGTGTAGCCCAATTAACAGCATGGAAAAATTATTATTTTTTTCAAGATTCATTAAAAGATAATTCTGCCTAAACTATAGCATAGATTGTATGCTGTTGATAGAGGTTCTCAGCTTGGATCATTGCTGGAACTCTCAACCACTGTTCTAGAAAGAGGTCTAAAACATGAAGCAGAAAAAGGATGCCTGTTGGACTGGAGGGTGCCATCCTCACTCTGAACCTCTTTTTGGACTGAGCAACACTGATGAGCAAGAGTGTTTTAAAGGCCTCTCTGGCCTTACCCACAGAAATGAGATATAAATTGAGTCTTTTTCTATTTCATTTCTAGGATGCACAAAGGCACAAAGAGCTTCTGTCCCCAGTGTCAGAGTTAAATATGCTATGTCATTTCATGTGCATTAAATGTGACTTTGAGATCAATGTCAAGATTGACTGGATTTCACTGACCTCAGGCAGCCACACTGGGGAGGGCCTCTCACTCTCGCCAGCTGGTGTCTAGCTGAATTCCCAAGGTAGAGCAATCAGCTTTGGAAACCCATATGTGTTGCTCAGTGAAGGAGGTTGGAAACAGTTGAAAACATGAGGGGCAGCGACCTCCACTGCTGTAGTCTGGCACACAGTAAAATGCTCTGAAACTCCAGGGGCATTACAGGGCTAAAGAGGAGAAGAACATCTCAATTTAGGTGATGGCAGTCTTAATTGGAGACTACCTCAAAGTCTTAACTCCTCTGGAAGGAAAATACCACCTATGAACATTCAGGAGCTGGTGGGAAAATTAAAAAGAAAAAGTCAGACTTCAAAATTCTCTCCACAAAGTAACATTTCCAGGAATAGAGGCTGGGTGTTTATTTATAGAGCGGTTATTTAGAATTTATATTCTACCTTGCAAAGGAAAGTGTACCTTCATTAATGTCCTTCCCAATCTCCATTCTCATTTTCATCATTGACAAAAAAAAAGTGCATTTTTTTCCCTATGAATACCCAACTACTTTTCAATTTGATCATGACTTTCACAGCTCTGAGATGAAAGAGGGGTGGATAAACTAACCTTATCTTTTCTGGAACAGATTCTTCTCTCCCTTCCCTGCATGTTTACTCTTTGCCCCAAGAGATGCTTGGTCATAACAGCACCTCCTTCCCAGGAAAGAAGTCTTCTGGGGCTTCCCTCGGCTGCTGTGAGTTACTGGGGAGCTTCGTTAATGCATTACCCAAAACTCTAACTCAGTGGTACCATATGAAAGGATCTGTCTGTGTGCACACACATAGTTATTGATCAGTAAAAAGTGCAAGTCAAAATATAAGAGCCAAAATTACTACTAAACCCTGGGTAAATACTTCTATATTTCAGTTCTTGGGCCCTTGTTCACCATGTCTTTTGAACACTGTGAATCCCTCAGCCTTATAAAGTTGGGTTTGCATAATTCAGACTATTCACAGTGTGTGCACATATGTGTGTAACTGTGTGTGTACATGTGTATGTGTGTATGCATGTGTGTACACATGTATATGTCTGCTGAAGGTCCCAAATACGTGTAAACCTTTTTTTTTTTCTATACCCTTTAAGTGTGTGGGAAATTGATACCTTGCCTCTATAAGGCAAGGAACTTAGAATTATTAACTATAACATATATGCCAAATGGGAAATGTTTCAATTCACCCATGCTTCAGTTTGGTCAAATCTTCTTGTTTCTTTAGATTTAAAAATTCCAATTATCCTAACAGGAATTTTAAAACCAACACAGAAAATTAATATTTATACATAGGCCCAGTGGTTACTTGGCTTTTAAAAAAAAAAAAAACCAAACAAAACAAAAGCAAAACTTCATGGCTTTCCCAAAAGTCCTGTCATTTTAAAGGCTTAAGGCATAAAGAGAAACATTTCCAATAACTACTCCTTTTATGTCATTTGTGAATCGAATGGATGTTTATATAAATCTCTGCAATTCCAAAAATGAAATATATCCATAGTGCAGAACTACAGCTTTGCTAACTGGTCACAGAGCCAATCCACTAAATTTTAAAATGAATGAAGTTGCAAAAAAAAAAAAAAAGTTTGAGACTACAGAGTGAACACAAACAACCAAAACAACTGACCATACTGCCTCTGTTCAGAGCTGTGAAATTCTTCTGCCCTCCTAGACCCCTACTTCTCAGAAACAGAAGCAAAGAACTTTGGGCAGCGTATTTGAAAACAAGCCTGACACTGCATTCAAACCATATGCACATGCACGCACACATACATACTCTCAGTCACTGCTTCAAAAACACCCAACATGCTAGTTAATAGATTTGAGTCTCTGGTTATATATTTCTACACCATAAGACAGGCGGTAAGCTCAAACAACTAAGGCAGTGGCTCATCTTTGGGGAGAGGCAGAAAAACAGTGATACTGAAGTACAAAAATATTAGCTATTTAACTGAGTCCATAGCCTGTTCTAAAATGCCTTTGCCTGCAACAAGATTTTCATGGAGAAGTCCTAATTTATAAGCATTCTGAATCTAAGAACATGGCACCCTGCCTCGAGAAGGTGCCAACCATGCAGGTGCCACATTTGTGATACTTTACACTTCCGAGGGTATGGAGCAGCACTAGGCTAATCCACTGTGAAATATACACAAACATGTAAATGACATTGTCTCAGCCTCTCTAGTGTTCCTGAAAATCTCTGTTCTCCTGGACTAATTACAGCAATAAAGAAGGTGTGCTTCAAATAATCACACGTTGTAATAAGCCCAATCAAAACGAACTTACTTGATCTCATGTCTATTTTTTTTTCATTTTTAATTTTTAAATACTCAAGACTAGACTAGACAGGCTGCCCCCTGTTTTTCTTTTCCTTTATTCCCCTGTACTTTTCAAATCACTATGAGCTCTCCTCTTAGTGTATATATGTATACAAATATATAAGTATATATGCATACATATATATATAAAACTAGTTCCATGAAACTATCACACTATAGCTAGTCATTTTGCCCTAGAGATTTTGAAATTCAGATTAAATTGTAACATAAGAATTTTTCAATTAAAAACCCTTTAATCAAAATATCATTTGATTTCTAGATTAATAAAACAATGCTACTATACACTCTTAATGGCTGAACTATATAACCAATCCTATGAGGCTTTTTTTTTTTACATCACACTGGTTATTGAGAAAATAAAATTTAAAATCTTTCTGATGTTTACATGTACCATATGTTGATATGCAAACCACACAGTGATGCATATGCATACAAGTATATTCATATATACATATATATATACACACAAACACACACACAAACGCAAACACACATATACTTAGAGATGGCAGATAGCCTTTTCTGTGGCATGACACATTATCTGTATGAATCCTTATGTTACTGCAGACACACTTAAATTATCATGAATGAACCAGGGAGACTTAAGGAACCCTATCATAAGTATAGTTACACATATTGTAATACTATCTTACTGTTGCATTCAAGTCTACAATCTGTCATGCAGGTTCAAGTATTTACTGAAATTCTCTCCATGAGGACCAGCTCCCAGCATGCAATGGGCCAGAGTGCTATCCTAAGAAGATCATCCAAATAGGTCATGGATGCTGTAGGTACAGGAAGACCTAAAAATTCACTAGTCCATCACTCTACTAAAGGTGTAGCCTGAGAAAGAAAGAGAGAAAGAGAGAGAGACAGAGACAGAGGGAGAGAGAGACAGAGAGAGAAAGACAGAAAGAGAGAGAAAGAGAAATTGCAAAAGGGGGTGTCCGGAACTGAGAAGGAATCAGAAAGCTGTCCTTTGTTGCCTTTTCCCTATTTTTGGACATCAGCAATCAGGCCTCCCAGAGTCCCTTCTGGTGATGTGCTGGTGTCTGACCTTTAAAAAGCAAGAGGAAAGGGAATCACAAACTCTCAAGCAGATATGCAGTTTGGCCCTAAAGCTGGCAACTTTGGAGCAAGGTTGATGAACAAGGGGGCTCCTTTAGCTGTTCAGCTGACTTGAGATGATTTTCTGCTCAAGTGACTTGGAATCCCATGAAGGGAAAGGAGCAACTATTTAAGTCCAATATAGCACCACTAGATACAAATTTTATTTTTGATTACTGTAAGGAATCTCTTCTGTGCTCTCCCTATAGCGTGGGTTTCAGAGGTTGAGAAATATTCCTGGCATTTGATGGCTAAACTGACTTAGTGCCCAAGTTAAAAGAAAATTGGTATGTATTTTGCCAGGGTCCCAGGCAATTGGCCTAAGTCAAGCCCACAGCAATTTCAAAGTGGAAACAAAGCTACAGCATTTTGGACCCTATTCTTGGCCATCCAGTAGAATGAGGATTTCAGTGGTGAATTAACTAAAAAAAAAAAGATTGCTAAAGGAATTAAAACAAACAAACAAACAAACAAACAAACATCAAACTGAAACCCTAGACTTGCCAGTAAGGTATTTTTTTTTTTCAAGGTGCATCTTTGAACCTCTCAACCAAGCCAAAAAGGAAAAGTCAGAGATCATTTCTTCTGAGCAGTAATGAGAGGCCCCTTTCTCATTGAGTTCCTACTTCTACCTAGCACCTCTTCTCATCCCCTGAATAAGGAGCCACATTGCATTGGTCCAACCAAGTGAAGCCCCAGCTGAGGAGGTCAGCTTTTGCTCTGTCCACTCAGGGGAGGCTATGTTCTCCATTTATAGTTGTTTCCCTCAGGTCCTTCCTGAGTAGTTCTTAGCCTCCTGGATTGTCCAAAGATTAGAAAGCCCAGGGACTGTTAAAATTAGAAAGAACTCCAAGAACAGTGGTACTGACCACATGGGGGGGGGGGGTGTCAATCAGTTTTATCTATGCTGTATAGTACCAGAAACCCCTGACCAATCACTGACCAACCTTCACCACTTTCAGAGCCTGAAAAGCCCATTGCTCCTTTTGAATGGCACTAGCCTATTGATAAGTACTCCTAATGGCAAAAGAAAATATGAAAATATGTCCTGCATTATTTTGTCACTCCAGGTATACCCAACCTGTTGGCATTAAGATACAAGAAAATGGATAGAAATACTGGGTGGCTAAGCTAAATTAGAAACTTCTAAGGCAAGGTTGTTTTCTTAAACACAAACTCCCAAGCAAATCTGTGAGGTGGGATCAAAACACCCAAATTCCCAATAAAACATTCTTCTAGAACTCTGCATGTTAGGTGGTAACCCCAACTCTGAAGAAACTCATATATTTTTATATGTGAAACATTCATAATATTGGTCAAATTCAGCAATGAGACTATTAAAACAGTGACAAACTAGTAGCAAGACTTTCCTCTAATTTAAACCACGATGGATTGGTTTTAAGTCAAGGGTATCTTGATTTAAAAAGAGGTCTGCCACAGGTCAGAGGAACTCAGGCCCATCTACATGCCTTCAGCTCATGGAAGGTGAGGTAGGGGGTTGAGAAGTCACAGGAAGGGGTTTGTGAAGTACCTCATTGAAAAAGGAAAAAAAGAAGGAAAAAGAGTTCTTCTGTACCTTGAAGTAAGCAGCAGGGAGAAAGGAAGTCTGAATAGAACCTTGTTTCATCTTCCTTGATCAGATGCCAAAAAAAGTAGACTTCCATGAGTGAGAAGCACCGCCTTAGTTCCTCAGAGCAGTTCTAAGCTAGTCTCATTTTAACTCTGTGAAGGTTGCTTCCTACAGAACCAGATGTGACTTGTATTAATCAAGGGTTGGAAGGAGGAGAGGAGCTCCTAGTCCAATACCTAATGATGGACTAGCATTGTACAGGCGTGAGCGGTGACCCTAGGCCACAACAGCAATTTCTGTATTTATTATTTTAAAAACAAACCTATATAAACATAGTACACAGCAGCTTAAAATATAAAAGTATAACTTTCTAATCCAGATGAATAACTCATCAGCATAACCAGAAGTAAAAATGACTTCCATGAAGAAGACAATGGAAATAATGCCTTATTCATGTGAGGCTAGCCAAATATTTCTCGGATTAGTCTAAATACCAATAATACTGTAGGCAAGGTACCATTTAATGTGTATCTCATGTTGTAAGCACACAAAATGCACACAAACACACAATACACAAAGACACACACACTGAATGCATACATACATTGAAGCAATGAGCAGAGCAGTTTATATGAGTTCAGTTACTCAGACCAACACATAACACTGTCCAGGTACCTCTAGGATAAAGACATAGGCAGACAATAGGCTGGAAATTCAAATGGAAAGAGTGTTTGTCCAGGGGGGTGGGAGTGGGGAGGATCTTCCTATCTCATGGAGGCCTTGTAGATTCTGAGAGCAGCTACAAAAAGCAAAATACTCTGGGCCACACAACTATAAAATCCAACCTTGTTTTTGCTCAGTTTTTGGAGCTTTCAGAAAAAAAAAATGTGATCCATTTAATGGGATGGTCAGTTACAGGGCTTTTGTCAAAAATCTGACCTGTTGTCATGTGAGAAGCTATAACCTCAGAAATATGAGATTCTTCCCCTCTCCTTTCACGGAACCAAGGCATCAAATAAACATTCAGTTTGTTTTCATATATGACAGAAGTTACATTTTAATAAATAGCCCACTATGATTAAAAATTTGTAAAGTTCTAAAGGTCAATTCTGTTTTCCAAAGAGATTGTTTTGGTTTTTAAAGCTAATTCTTTCTCATTTCTTAGAATGATGCCACCCTTGCATAGCATTTAATTCTTTGGTCAAAGTACATATGATTCAAGGTGACTAACTTCATTTGTTGTGACTATACTGCTCAAATAGGGGTGGGGAAAGATTCCTTTTTGATGGTGGCCGAAGTCTCCCTCTCGTTCCCTCTCTCTACAAGTCTCCCTTTCTTGTGCTTATCTTCCCCTGAATGCCAAAGCGATTACCACATGAAGACTCAGGAGGCCAAAAGATGTCTCACTAACTGCATGAGAAGACCTCAATGAGTGCTCTAGAAGGGGAGAATTTCCTTTGTTGACACCCCAAGTATAGGGAAAAGGGTGTCGGAGCTACAGTAGTAGTGAGCTAAGTGGTCTGGTCATCTATTTCCTATCAAAGGAACCAAAATAATGAACTGAGCAAAGAGTGGTTGCTCATATGCAACCACCAGATTTCCAGCAGCTACTGACCTAGAGTTCACTATATGTGTATATATATATATATATATATATTTTTCATGTTATTAAAATCAGGGTACCATTCCAGACCCTTGAGAACTGTCTATTTTGTAAAGTTGTTTTCCTTGTTTTGTTCATTTCTCTGTGTAAACCTAAGAAAATAAAGAGCGATTTGCAACAATACTTTGTTGGACACGGGGGCAAGGAAACCTCCCTCCTGCCTCCATGTTCACACAGCCAAGAAATAACCAAATATCTACACACCCTAAGAAAGAACCCAATGCCAGTATGAAAGGCTATAACCAGACGGTGTAGAATCTCAAGTTCCTTCTCAGATACAGCAGGAGTCACGTTCCTGTCCCCTGGAAATGAAAACTGGAACTATGAACATAGCTCCCCAACGGCTAATATGCCTGCCTTTCTTGGGCAAACAAAATTAACTTGGAATGAATCTTCCCTTAATCTTCACTGGGCAAAATGACTTCACTCTGCTTTCCTCTACTTCTCAATGGAATTGGTGTTTCAAGTAAGCTAACATGAGTTGTCTAGGACTAACAATCCCTGCAGTCTTCTCATTCTATTCCCCTGCTATTGGCAAGGTTCACAACTTGATAAGTGCTAAAATGCGCTCAAGGCTGCATCACGTTGGGAAATTCTCATTCCCAGTGTCAGAGCCCTTCCCCTAACTTCTACCAGTGGTCAGTTCCACTTCTGTGACTGTGCAAGGTTTCATTTACAAAGACTTCTACTAACTCCAGACTTAGATGAACTCCAGCTAAGCTACAAGGGCTCATCCAGTTAAGTCTTTTACAATGGATTACTTTTTTTTTCTTAAAGTGTAACAGCTGACTTGAGGAATACATAAAACAAGAGAGCAGTGTGCAAACAGGAGAAAATCCAAGGGGAAGGATCGCATCGTTCATTGGGAAACAGCGTTTCCCTTCCCCTCACAAAACAAGGTGCATCAGTTGGCCAATGGCAAATTCTCAAAGCAAAGGGAGTAGGGAGCAAAAGCAACCCTTGGCACTATGTACAGAAAACAACAACAACAACCAAAAATAGACTATAGAAAAAGGGTTACTAATGCACCATTTAGTCACAGAATCATTTGTTGGTATTGTTTTATGAACCACAGATTATCAGAAAGATCTTGAAAAACAATATTTTGCGGCATGACCAATGCTTCCTGTACTCCAATGGATTCTAAGTAACCTTCTGCTTAATGCTGGGTGTTTCTGGTCTGTAGTCCTTCCTTTCAGAGACGTTGCGCTTGACCTTGGCACTGACCGGAGAGGCCTCCTGGTTCAAGGACGGGCTCGAGTGGGATTTCTTCAGTCCCATCCCATCACTGTCGCTGCCGCCCAGCAGCTTCTTGCCTCCTTCTTTCAGAAGATTCACATACATCTCGTAGCGAGATTTCTGAGGGTAGGGAAAAAAAGATGGAAAATCCACAGGAGAATAACTATTAATATATTACACATAACCCTATACAGTTATCATCAACAGCATTTTAACGACATCAAGTTTGAATAGCCAATGAGGGCCTGACTCCATCAAATTGGCAACAACTGCCTACAGGTAGTTGGTACCAGAAAGACCAAAGCTACATGACTGCACGACTAAACAGGCTTCAACTTTCTCATAAGCAAAACATGACAGCAGAACTTGATGACCTCTGAAGGTCTCCAATTTCTTCCAATTCTTAAAGTTTGTTGATGCTGATTCACACATTCAACAAGCAATTATTATGTGGTTATTTTATTTGTAAAAGCACCTTTCATTATAAGAAAATTCATCATTACATTAACTACTCATTAAATATAAGAGTATAAAAACAATAGCTCTTAAGCAAGCTTCTCTCCTTACAGGGAAATTCTCATTACAAGTAAATTCCTTATAAATATAACATCTCTATAAAACTCTGAACTTCATACCTAATTGCTTTTCAGACTTGAATCAAATCAAGTCAACAAGCATTTATTAAGCTCCTACTATGTGCTACGCACCATGCTAAGATAAAAAGAAAGGCAAACACAGTCTCTGATCTCAAGGAGCTCAGAGTCTAATGGGAGGCACAACATGCAAACAGCTAGCAACAAGCAAGATGTAGAAGAGATAAAGTGGAGAGAATCTCAAGGCAAAGGTCGTAGCTTAAGGAAGATCAGGAAAGGCCTCTTCTAGAAGATAGGATATTGGCTGAGACTTGAAGGAAGACCAGGAAAGGCCTCTTCTAGAAGATAGGATATTGGCTGAGACTTGAAGGAAGACCAGGAAAGGCCTCTTCTAGAAGATAGGATATTGGCTGAGACTTGAAGGAAGACCAGGAAAGCCAGGAGGTAGAGATGAGGAGACAGAAAGTTCTAGACATGGGGGGTAGCCAGTGAAAATACATGGAGTTGGGAGATGGGAGTGTCTTGGGTGAAGCATACCAAAGAGGCCAGTGTCACTAAATCATAAAGTATGTGGAGGGGATAAGACATAAGAAGACTGGAAAGGGAGGAAAAGATCAGGTTGTGAAGAGCTTTAAAAGACAAACAGAGAATTTTATATTTGATCTGGGAGGTACTAGAAAGCTACTGGAGTTTACTGAATAGGGGGAAGAGATCATGCCTGTGTTTTTGGAAAATCTTCTGAGAGCTGAGTAGAGAATGGACAGGAATTAGAAGAGAATTGAGGCAGAGAGAGACCAATCTGCAGGCTATTAGAATAGTCCAAGCATGAGGAGATAAAGGCCCACTCCAGTGTGGTGGCAATGTCAGAGGAGAGAAGACAGCATATATGAGAGATGCTATAACGGCAGAAACTACAGGGCCTAGCAAAGACTAGATATGGGGCATGAAATTGAGTGAGAAGATGAAGATGAGAGGTTGTGAGCCTCGTTTGTATGACTGGAGAATGGGGGTGCAACTTAGGAAGATGGGGAAGATTTGCGAGAAAAACGAATGAGTTAAGTTTTAGACATGTTGGTGGACAGGGGGAGATCAGGAAAAGTGGTTAGGGCTGGATTAATAGATCAGATAATCATCTACAGAGAGATAATAATTGAATCCATGGGATCTAATGAGATCACGGAAGGAATAGTATAGAGGGAGAAGAGAAAATGGCCCCAGACAAAGACCTAGTGTAATCACCATTAGATTTGGCAATTAAGAGATCATTGGCAATGATGATTATGATAGCTAACAATTTATATAGCACTTACTATGTGCCAGATACTGTGCTAAGCACTTTACAATTATCATCTTATTTGATCATCACAACAACCCTGGGAGGGAGGTGCTACTATTATCCCTATTTTATAGGTGAAGAAACTGAGGCAAACAGGAGTTAAGTGACTTGCCCAGAGTCACATAGCTAGTAAGAGTCTTGAGGCCAGGTTTGAAATCAGGTCCAATACTCTATCCAGTGAGCCACCTAGCTGCAATTTAAGAGTAGGCAAGATCTACATCTGGACTACTATATCATAAACCCATTCTATCAAACAGAAAAGGCACAAGAACAAAAAACATTTATTTAGCAGAACTTAAAGAGATATTCATATGAGGAAAATTATGGGTGATAGCAGAGGGAAAATCCCGGAGTTGACAAAATATTGGAAAAGTACTAGTTTTATGCATCAGTATGGTGCAGACCTAATTACTATCTTAAATCATTACTCACTAGAAATTTATAATTCTTATCTCTTCAGATTTCCTCTATCCCCCACCTCCTCAACATGAGACTATATCTTCAATTTTTCTAATAGGAATCAAAGGGAAAATAGGATTTGCTTTACCAAAATTCACTTCACAGACTAATATGCTAGAACATACCCTATAAGAAATGGGGTACTTATATTTTGTTTGCTTCTGTCTTCAGAAAGGGGACTAAGTAATCTTAATGTCTGAGCAGTAGTTTGTGGATGGCTAAATGACATGAGCATAAGGCATGTTATTTCAGAGAGCTGGTGGCAGCTATACCATGAGGCATCTCGGTCAAAACTTTTGGAGATGGTTTAAAAAGAAAAACAGAAGAAAAGGGGATAGGGTTCATTCTCGCTACAAGACTCTGGAGAAACTGGTGAGAATGGGAAATAGGACTCAAAAAAAAAAAATCCATCTTTAAAATACACGAGGGAAAAACCAGCAAACAAAAACCCTTTTCCATCTCACTCTACACCTTCAGTTCCAAGGTTTCAGAGGCAAATACATCACATGACTGTGTCAATCAATAAACAAAAGGCACAAAACACTTAGGGGTGAAAAAGGGATGGGACAGGGAGCGGAGGAAAGAAAAAAGGATGAAAATGAGGACCAGGAACAAGAAGAGGTTAGGTCATCACAAAATGTACCAAGAAAAGAAGGCCTACGTGGCTTTCTGGTATGCATCTGCAAGGTACTGTATATGCCCTGTAGGTTACAAAGAAGAAGGCTTGTGATAGGTAGTCAGCCCCTGCTATGTGTCATTAGAGTTAAACCCACATTGCCTCTTCCACACATTCAAGCTGGAGAAAAGAACAATCCCTTTTTTAATGTTGGTGGAGACAGAAGTATGGATACAGGACTCAGGACATGTTTTCCAGGGGGCTGCAGGATCATTTAAATCTATAAGGCGTGCGCACACACACACACACACACACACACACACACACACGATGACTTCTTTGATTTCCAGGAGAGCTGCTAAAAAATTAGCCTCTAGAATAAAGCACTTCAACAAAGGAATTGGGAAGGAACAGGGCAGAGTTGAGTTCTCCTCCATGTTGTTTTCCATTTGCCTCATTTGGGGACTGGTATATCAAGTAGAAACACTCTTTTCTGACCTAATTAAGAGAGGTTTTGAATGGAACCTTTCTTCCTCAGATCAGTGACAGAATTTAAGAATGAAAGTTTAGTTATCTTCAAATTTATCTTGTACATATCTGATTTACACATAAGTCATTTGAAGGTTATGTTCCTCATTAGACTGTGAGCTCCTTGAGGGCAGGGACTGTCTTTTAGCTTTCTTTGTTTCCCAAGAGAAAAAGAGACTTCTACATAGCAGGCACTTAAAGAATGTGTGACTGACTTTTTGAGATAGTCAAGGGAGAAGAAGGTAGTGTATTTGTAAAGCATCCTTCAAGAGGTGATGCACTCCACCTTGCACGTTTTAGTAGATCTGCAAACACTGTCTAACGTCCTAAATTAACCTGAGAGTTGAGCTGATGTTCAATATTCAATGGGATGGTGAAAAAAGCACAGAAAGTTTAAGTGATCTCCCAAGATCCACAGCTAGTAAGTGTGAACTAAAATACAAATAAAGTCCAATAGAGGTATGATTGTATCTTCTATTTGTGTCCACAGCTTTTATGACTTAATAATAAAATTAGTGAACAGTGAAGAACATTGGCTTTATGTTTCGTTTGTTTTGTTTTTAATTCTTTCCCACCCATTATTCCATTTGCCCTCCAAAACAACTCTGGAAAGTAGGTAGGGCAGTCATTAGTAGACCTTATGGACAGGGACCAGATAATTCTCTCATTTTATAGTGGAGGAACCTGAGGCACAGAGAAGATAATTTAGAATGTCAAAAAGGAGGAGGTGAAGGAAATAAGTATTTATTAAATGTCTACAATATGCCAGGCATTGTATTTAAGGCTTTACAAATATTATCTCATTTGATTTTCACAACAGTCCTAGGAATTAGGTGCTATTGTTATCATTCCCATTTTACAGTTGAGGAAACTGAGGCAGACAGTAAGTGTTTGAGACTGGATTTGAATGTTAAGTCTTTCCAACTACAAGCCCAGTGCTCTATCCACTGAGCCTCCAGAAATAGAAGAGTTCTGGGTACAACTCAAGCTTTATTGGGGAACTTCTCACTCATCATTGACAAATGATGACCCATCTTCTGTCTGAAGATGTCCAGTGACAGGAACTCATTACCTTCTGTGGCTCAAGGTCACATGTAGTGGGTAGGGTTGGGATCATCTCTCTCTTCTGCTGCTTATATTGATGTCAGCCATAAAGACCTACAGGGTCTGGAGGGCAGTGGAGAGCACTAGGAATCACAGTACCTGAATTCATATCCAAGTCAATTAACTTCTCTGTGCCTCAGTTTCCTTATTTAAAAAAAAATGAAGGAGTTGGACTATGAAAACTCTAGGTCTCTGATTCCAAAATAAGGTTAATTATGGAGCACTCATTGCTTTACATTAAACATAGAGATAAACTATGTTGTCAGTATCATATATGTGTGTTTGTGTGAAAAGACATTCAGAAATCTCTCTAACACTACTTTTGTTATGTGCCGGATCCCTCAGGGTATCCCAATTCTACCACCAGACAACTCTTCCTCATTCACTCTACTCTAAAAGTTACTGAGTTTACCCTGGTGATCTCCCCTTTCAAAAAAAACCTCTTTTAGCTAAAATGATGAAGGGGAAATAACATAAGTATACG